GACAGATCTTGAAATATCCTTTGTGATGATGAATGCCATGCCATTCCTTTTCAAACTGTCATTCCCGGCATAGTAGATCACATGGTTGTCTGATTCAAAATGGCCGAAACCAGTCCATTTCAGCTCACTAATGCTGAGGATATCAATCTTTATGTGTTCCATTTCATTTTTGACAACTTGCAATTTCCCTAGATTCATACTTTGTACATTCCATGTTCCGATGATCGGTGGATGTCTGCAGCTGTTTCTCTTCAATTTGAGTGGTGCCACTTCAGCAAATGAAGGTCTTGAAAGCTTTACCTTATCCATACGAGTAAGGCTGTGTTTACTCTGATAATGCAGCTCTTTCCCAGTCGTATTTTGAGTGCCTTCTAACCTAACTGGACTATTCATAAAGTTGAGCGGTAATGTATCAGACAGTGTTTCTTTGCTATTCATAAGGTTTTCCCTGGTCAATTCTTTGAGAAGTGGATGGCCTCTTCCTTCTTCCCAGTCTGTCTCAGTCTGTAAGCTGGGCTGATACCTGTGCACCATGTGCATCCTGCTGGGTTTGAAACACCAGTGGCTCAGCCTCAAAACTCACATCAACACATCACCAGGGTAGGATAAACAGACAGACAAGTTTGTCTCCCTGTTGGAAATCTTTCCTACCACCCTTATCTGGGTCCTTGCGGCTGACTGCTCCTCTGCCCAGGTTCTTCGGCCCTTTCATCCCCTTTCTCCCACTCTCATGCCCCACTGCTTTGGGCATGTCTGGGCTCCCTCTCCTCACCTGGATCACTGTGGTTGACTGATCCTCTGCCCAGGTTCTTGGGCCTTTTAATCCCTTTTCTCCCGCTCTCCTGCCCTGCTACTGTGGGTGTGCCTGGGTTCTCTCTCCTCACCTGGATCCCTGTGGCTGACTGCTCCTCTTTCCGGGTTCCTGGGTCTTTTAATCCCCTTTCTCCCGCTCTACCACCCTGCTGCTTTGGGCGAGCCTGGGTTCTCTCTCCTTACCTGGATCCCTGCGGCTGACAGGACAGGGTAGAACTGCCCTATAAGGTTTCCAAGGCTGTAAAGATTTACGAAAGCAGACTGCCTCGTCTTTCTCCAGCGGAGCAGCTGGTGGGTACAAACTGCCAACCTTTTGGTTAGCAGCTGAATGTGTTAACCATTACGCCACCAGAGCTCCTAAGGTACAGAGTAGAAGGTGCAAATTAGAGACTAGTTGAAAGATTACTTCTAGGCACCAGAAAGATCTCAATAAATGTCCACTGAACACATGGACATGGAAATGGAGAGAAGTAGAAGGATGACATGAATATCTGAGGAAAGAATTGGCAAGTCACATCAAATACAGGGATACTGGAAGCAGGAAAGGTAATATGATACTTGCTTTTGTTGAACATAAATGTCGCAAAGCTTCTGTATTTGACATTGAAGATGCTTTTGTATTGTAATTCCTTAATTTATTCAGAAGCTAGCTAATGTGAAGTTGTTTCTAGCATTTGCTTTTACCTCGTTTCTTCTTATTCTTATATTCTTTCATTATTACTAGTATTCTCTTTGCTTCATATGTCATTTAAGAAATTTCTGAAGACACATTCTGGTTGTTACAGTTTCCTACTACCTTCCCAGGAGGGAAAATAATTTTACTCCCTATAAGCAAACTTACTCCAATGTGCAAAAGATTAAAAATCCTCTTCATCATGTCAGTGGGAAAAGCTCCAAGATAAATTTCTCACTAGTGATATAAAATAGCTTTCAACTTTTTTTTTTTTCAAATTTCTTTGGTTTAAAATAAATCAGATATTGTTTAGTATTATATTAGGAGATGCTTCAAAATTATGACTGTAACACCACTATCAACTAGTGATAGTTCAACAACAAAGAGATACTGCAGACTAGGACATAACTAAGAAATCATGGACCCCTGCACTTTGTCTGCTAGAGCAGGGGTCAGTGAACTTTTTCTGCAAAGGGACAGATAGTAAAGACTTTAGGCTTTGCAGGCCGTAAGGTAGGTCTCTGTTGCAACTACTCAACTTTGCTATAGTAGTGCAAAACTACTCACAGACATACAAAATGAATGAGAATGGCTGTTTTTCAAGAAACAAAAACAGGAAACAGATCACACTTGGACCAGGGGCCCTAGTTTGCCAATTCCTACTCTAGAAAGTTTTAACTATTTATGTATGTTTATTTTAGATATCTGACCCAGTACTGGCCTAAAAGAAAGTCTCCTTAGTTGAATTTTATTAGTCTTATCTTTTTTAAGCAATTCACCTAAAATGTCAAGTGTCTTCAATGGACCCATCATTTCTGCTGGGTGCTACAGAGATGCATAAGAAGAATACAGATCTAGAAGATTAGTTATGGGGATAAAATTAAAAGTCTTGAAATGTTTTAGAACAATTAACTACTCACCTACGTGGTAGTGAAGGTAAGTGTAGGAGTTGGAAATATTTCTGAGGACTGACGTCATTGGGAAAGGGTTCACAGAAGATGTGGAGGAAGATGGAGATAAGATTGAATACTCTATTATAGAAGGAAAAGCAAAAACAACGCTACAGAGGCAGTAATGGGATGGCAGTGAGGAGACCAGCCTGACTACAGCTGAGTCTTGTGGAGCTGTGAAAAATGAAACCTGTTGGGCAGAGTGGATCAGATTGAAGAGCATGTTGAAAGCCAGATGGATATGTTTGGCCTGGATGTAGTATCTAGGAACCACTGGAGTTCTTTCAGCAGGTTAATGATGTAATAAAAGTAGTATTTCAATGGCATATAAGACAGATAGTAGTAGAAAGATGCTGAAGTCAGGAAAACTTGCCATAAGACTATTGGAATAACCCAAAGTACAAGAAATTAAGGCCTAACCTATAAATGACGAGATGGGGTAATGAGAAGGTTAAATCTGCAAAGCATTTAAAAGGATTAAACATCTAGCCTTTGGGACACATCATAAGAATCCAGTCTTCCTAACTGGGAATCCCCAAAGACTGGGAACATGTTGATAGAAATGGGAAAACTAAAAAAGAGAGTCATTTTGTTGATGATTCCAGTTTTGTTGACATCAAGTTGATAAATGGTAATTTACTGAGTGTTAGCACATCAGCTATAAAAAGTAAAGTTCCCCAGACAGATGAGAATTCTTTAACAAGAGTCGACAGCAGAAGACAGGGGAATGAATGAGTTTTCTGGGGAGTGAATGCAACCTTAGGAAAAAACAATTGTTTGATGAAAAATTTGCCCACTCTATGGCCAAGCATCAAAGCCTTCATCAAACTATCCATGATCCCTTATTTAGTGCACATCTTCCCTGTATAAATCCCTTTCTATTTCTGTGCAGAAAACCCACTAAACTCCCAGCAGAATGACATGACTTTTTTTTTTTTTTTTCAGCTCTAGTAGTCTTCTCATATTCATTTGACAGTGAGGAATGTAACTTTGAGGGCCCCCCATAGGTGGAGAGGAGTGGAATAAAGTCAGCAAATGAGACAAAGGAGGAGAAGAAATGCAGGAAAGGGCAGGGCCATGAAAATCAAAAGAACAAGTTACTAGACATAGTTATAAATATTATCAAATACAATAAGAAGAGATATTATTAATAAAGAAATATCAAGTAAGTTATCATATGTTGATAATCTACTTGCTAAAAATACACAAATAAATCTTAATTCAATCAGGAATTATGTACCATAGCATAGTAACAAGGTGAAATTTATCCTAAAAATAATCATCAATATAAAGTTTTGGCTAAGATCAAAGCTATGCCACTAAAGCTTTTTTCCTAGCCTTTGATTAAGAGAGCAAGGCGAATTCCATAGTTCGCGACCTACTCACATGAGCATAACTCAGGAAGAAGAGCTGGTTGTTGGTGAACGTGATGCCTGGTAGGAGAGGCTCTTCTACTCCCTGTCTTTGGTCATTTACCCATTTCCGGTAAGCCTAGTGAGAGAAGAAGAAGAAATGATCTTCCAAAATGACCTTTCTTTTTCCTTTTCACATCCAGTGCCGAGATACTGAAAGAAACCCCAATGCAAAACCTGACATGTGCAAAATGCACTGTGTCAAATTTTCCTTTAAAGAAACAAGCATCTAAAAATGCAAATCAATGTCCTAATCCTTAACAGTGAGGCAGGTTTGCCTGCAAAAAGACTTCACCCAATAGATACCTAAGCAAGTGGTCCAAAGGGTCCAGATGTTAAGTAACTCTTAAAAAATGTTATCCTTTCTGTGCCTACCAGGGCATAAAGACAGTGGTGAGGCCTAAGGAAATAATTTTTGGGGTCAAAATATAGCCACCTTTTTTCCCTAGTAAGGGGAAAAGCTGTCATCGTCTGTCGCCATCATTTCATAAAAGGTTTCTTTTAATTGGAATACAGGAAGGCTGTAACCTCAGAATAAACAGACTTGTCTTTGCATTGAATGCGCTTAGCTTTATGAAAATCTTTCTACATTATCTTTATGAGTTTTGTTTAACACAGACCAGTGGATGATGAAAACATTATGGACTTTCACATGGCCCAGCAAGCATATCAGAATCACTAGCCTGTGGCCATAAGTTAGAAGTTTGGTGTTTTAAGAGAGAATTATAAAGAGGGCTATAGAAAGAGTTGTACTCAAAGAAAACTCATATGAACCTAGCCCCAAGGAGAGTTTTACAGTATGCTTTGATATTATTATGAATGTATTTTTCAAAAACTATCCTTTAAATACATGACTCTTAATAACAAATATTATTCTTTAGGGTGACTTAATATCCCAAAAAGAAGAAAGAAAGAAATGTAGCTCTATCTATTTAATAGCATCAATGGGGTAATACAAGTCTATTTACAGAAATTCTATAACATCGAATTCCTCAAGAATATGTTGGTAGTGGAAAGTGAGGTGCATCCATACGGTATTTTATAGCTTAATTAAAAAAAAAAAAATTATAGCCAACGTAGCCTCACATACCCTGAAAGCTTCCCGGAGACCACCATTATCAGCAATATTTTCTCCCAGGGTCCTCTTCCCCTTCACCTAAAAGAAAGGGAAAAATAGTACTTCCCAGTCAACTGTCATTCAGTGGGAGGCATAAATATTACAGCAAGAAAAAGTACCATATTTTAAAGAGAAAATTGCATTCAATAAATCAGAGGTAGTCATAATAGATTGTAAGATGGCAAACTAACCCCAGCAAGGTGTCTCCTGCATATAATAATTTCTGTTTTATTATGCTACATGCTTCCTGCTCATCCACCTCTTTATTCTCACCAATTTAGCCAGCTCCAATAAAATGTTTGTAATATCCTGAGTGACTCTGATTTAATGAGAGAAAAATAGAAATGTCAATACACAGGTTACTTTCACTGATTAACTCACATCATCTGAGTATTCTTCCCACTGTGCCTGTGTTTCCAAAAATTGACCATCCATACAGAAATAAGATCTCAAGAGAAACCATCACCCTTTCACCTTCAGCAATTTCCATGAAAAATTAAAAGAAGGGTAGTTCTCATGGGGATTTTTAAAATATCAAATAGAAATAGTGCAAACCACAGGGTCAAGGCTTGCAAAATGTATGACAACCAGTCAAGCATGGTGAAGAAATTCTTCCAAACATTTAAAGATTGTTTCTCAAAACTTTAAATGAGCTAGGACAGAAATATTCTAAACCAGTACAGCCCTTGAACTAAATGTGGCCTGCAGCTTGTTTTGGGACAGCCTAAAAGTTAAGACTGGTTTTTACACTTTAAATGCTTTGGTGGAAAAAAAATCAAAAGGAGAAGATTTTGTGGCCTTCAAGAATTATATAAAATTCAAATTTACGTGTCCTTCAATTAAGTTTTTTTAGAACCCAGCCACACACACCTGTTAGTTTGTCGTACTATGGTGGCTTGCGTGTTGCTGTGAGGCTGGAAACTATGCCATTGGTATTTCAAATACCAGCAGGGACACCCATGGTGGACAGGTTTCAGCAGATCTTCAAGACTAAGACAGACTTGGAAGAAAGAAGAGGCCATCTACTTCTCAAAGAACTGACCAGTGAAAACCTTATGAATAGCAGTGAAACACTGTCTGATATATTACTGGAAAATGAAAACTTTACGAATATCCCTTGTTCTGGTTATCTAGTACCACTCTGACAAGAATATACCACAAATGGGATGGCTTGAACAAACAGGAGTTTATTCTCTTATATTTCCAGAGGCTTAAAAGTCCAAGTTCAAAGTACCAGGCACTAGGGGTTGGGTCAAAGTCCCTCAACCTTGGGGTCCAGCTCTGCCTCCTGCTCCTGGCCCACTGGAGCTAGAGGGTTTTCTTAACTTAGACAGCTGCTGGCTGCTGAGGCTGAGAAGCGCCAAGGTTGACAAGTAAAAAGGCACAGTCCTGATGTTATCAAACCACACAGCAGGCTATCAACTTAAGTCCACTGTACCTCCCAAGGTTGGCAGAGCATAGCTGGCTGCTGAGCAATGACACGGCTACATGCAGGGTCCAAGCGTGCCACAGGCTAGAGACCATTCTCAAAGCTTCTCCTCATACACAGGAAGCAGACCACATCCCAAAAGTAGCTACTCAGTTGCTTGTGATAGATCCCACCATGGAGTTGATTGCCAGTCTCATCATGGAGAATAACTACCACAAGCTGCCCAGCCACTCAACCTGGCCCAGCCAAGTTGACACACAAACATAACTACAACAGCCCTGAAATATTGTCTGATATAGTAGCAGAAGATGAGCCACTCAGGTTGGAAGGCACTCAAAATACAACTGGGGAAGAGCTGCCTCCTGAGAGTAGAGCTGACCTTAATGATGTGGATGGAATAAAGCTTTCAGGACCTCCATTTGCGGATATGGCATGATGAAATAGGAGAAGAAACAGCTGCAAACATCCTTTAATAATTGGAACACGGAATGTAAAAAGTATGAATCGAGAAAAACTGGAAGCTGTCAAAAATGAAATGGAACACGTAAAGATCAATACCCTAGGCATTAGTGAGCTGAAATGGACTGGTTTTGGCGATTTTCAATCAGACAATCATATGATCTACTATGCCAGGAATGACAAAATGAAGAAGAACGGTGTGGCATTCATCATCACAAAGAATGTATCAAGATCTATCCTGAAGTACAATGCTGTCAGTGATAGGATAATATCCATATGCTTACAAGGAAGACCAGTTAATACTACTATTATTCAAATTTGCACACCAATCACCAAAGCCAAAGATGAGGAATTTGAAGATTTTTGCCAACTTCTGCAGTCTGCAATTGACCAAACATGCAATCAGGATGTGTTGATTATCACTGGTGATTAGAATATGAAAGTTGGAAACAAAGAAGAATCACCAGTAGTTGGAAAACATGGCCTTGGTGACAGAAATAGCACTGGAGATGGCATGATAGAATTTTGCAAGACCAATGGCTTACTCATTGCAAATACCTTTTTTAAACCAGACAAATGGTAGCTGTACATGTGGACTTTGCCAGATGGAGTACACAGGAATCAGATTGACTACATCTGTGGCAAGAGGCAATGGAGAAGCTCAGTATCTTCAGCCAAAATAAAGCCAGGAGCTGATTGTGGTACAGACCATCAACTGCTCATATGCACGTTCAAGTTGAAGCTGAAGACAGTTCAAACAAGTTCACAAGGGCCAAAATATGACATTGATTATATCCCTCCTAAATTTAGAGACTATCTAAAGAATAGATCTGATGCACTGAACACCAATGACTGAAAACCAGAGGAATTGTGGGAACATCAAGAACATCATCCATGAAAAAGCAAAAGGTCATTAAAAAGGCAGGAAAGAAGAAAAGACTAAAATGAATGTCAGAAGAGACTTTTGAAACTTCCTATTGAGCGGGGAGGAACTCTGGTAGCATAATGCCTAAGGCACTTGACTGCTAACCAGAAGGCTGGCGGTTCAAACCCACCAGGCACTCCTCAGAAGGAAGATGGGGCAATCTACTTCTGTAGTGATACTGCCTCAGAAAACGCAAGGAGAGGTCACTATGAGTCAGGTCTGACTCAATGGCAAATAACAACAACAACAACATTGAGTGGGGAGTAGCTAAAGCAAATGAAGGAAATGACAAGATAAAAGAGCTGAACAGAAGATTTCAAAGAGCAGCTCAAGCAAAGTCAATTATTATCATGAAATATGGAAAGACCTGGAGTTAGAAAACCAAAAGGGAAGAACATGCATGGCATTTTTCAAGCTGAAAGAAATGAAGAAAAAATTCAAGCCTCGAGTTGTAATACTGAAAGGGTCTATGGGCAAAATATTGAATGATGCAGGAAACATCAAAAGAAGATGGAAAGAATACACGGAGTCATGGTACCAAAAACAATTGGTGGATGTTTATCCATTTCAGGAGGTGGCATATGATGAAGAACCAATGGTGTTGAAGGAAGAAGTCGAAGCTGCACTGAAGGAAACGGTGAATAGCAAGGCTCCAGGAATTGATGAAATACCCATTGAGATGTTTCAACAAATGGATGCCTCACTGGAGACACTCATTTGGCTATGACAAGAGATTTGGAAGACAGCTACCTGGCCAACTGACTGGAAGAGATCCATATTTGTACCCATTACAAAGAGAGATGATCCCACAGAATGCAGAAATTATCAAACAATATCATTAATATCACACACAAGTAAAATCTGGCTGAAAATAATTCACAAATGGTTGCAGCAGTATATTGATAGAGAACTTCCAGAAAGGCAGGCTGGATCCAGAAAAGGAAGTTGAATGAGGGTTATCATTGCTGATGTCAAATGGATCTTGACTCAAAGCAAAGAATACAAGAAAGATGTTTACTTGTGTTTTATTGATCATGACAAATCATTTGATTGTGTGGATCATAACAAATTATGGATACCATTGAGAAGAATGGGAATTTCAGAACAATTAATTATACTCACAAGGAACCTGTACACAGACCAGGAAGCTGTCATTCAAACAGAACAAGGGGATATTGCATGGATGAAAATCAGTAAGGGAGTGTGTCAGGGTTGTATCATTTCATTATATTTGTTCAAAGTGTATGCTGAACAAATAATCCAAGAAGCTGGACTATATTAAGAAAACATGGCATTAGAATTGGAGGAAGACTCATTAACAACCCGTGATATGCTGACAACACAACTTTGCTTGCTGAAAGGGAGGATGACTTGAAGCACTTACTGATGAAGACTGAAGACTACATTCTGCAGTATGGATCATACCTCAATATCACCAAAACAACCAAACTCACTGCCATCGAGTTGGATCCAATTCATAGTGACCGCTCCTTGGGTTTCCGAGGCCATATCACTATGGAAGTAAATTGCCCAATTTACTTCCAAGGAGTGGCTGGTGGGTTTGAACTGCCAGCCTTCTGGTTAGCAGTCAAATGCCTTAGGCTCTACACCACCAGAGCTCCTACATCTCAATATAAAGAAAACAAAAATCCTCACAACTAGACCAATAAATAGCATCAAGATAAATGAAGTTAAGATTAAAGTTGTCTAAGACTTCATATTACTTCGTCCCACAATCAACACCAATGGAAGCAGCAGTCACATACCGCACTGGGCAAATCTGATGAAAAAGACCTCTTTAAAGTGCTGAAGACCAAAGATGTCTCTTTGAAGACTAAGGTGTGCCTAACCCAAGCCATGGTGTTTTCAGTCGCCTCATATGCATGAAAGAGCTGAACAATGAAAAAGGAAGACTGAAGAAGTGTTGATGCTTTTGAGTTATGGTGTTGGTGAAAAATACTGAAAGTACCATGGACAGCCAAAAGAACTAACAAATCTATCCTGGAAGAAGTGCAGCGAGAATGCTCCTTGGATGCCAGAATGGCCAGACATCGTCTCACCTACTTTGGTCATGTTGTCACAAGGGACCATTCCCTGGAGAAGGACATCACGCTTGGTAAAGTGGAGGGTCAATGAAAAAGAGGAAGTCCTTCAACAAGATGGATTGACACAGTTGTTGCAACAATGGGCTCAAGTATAGCAGGGATTGTGAGCCTGGCACAGGACCAGGCAGTGTTTTGTTCTGTTGTACACAGGGTCACTGTGAGTTGGAGCCAACTCGACGGCACCTAACAACAACAATAACAACAGCCACACTCATTCACGTACTTACTGTCTATGGGTGTTTCTGTGCTATAAAGGGCAGAGTTGAGTAGTTGCAACAAAGAATGCATGGCCCACAAAGACTAAAATACTTGCTGCCCTGCTCTTTATAAGAAAGTCTGTGAATCCCTGTGTAGTAGGCAGAATAGTAGCTCTCCAAATGACATCCATGTCATAATCCCTGGCTCCTGTGACTATGTTACCTTACATGACAAAAGGGAATCTACAGATGTGATGAAGTAAGGATCTTGAGATGGGAGATCATCCTGGTGGGCCTGGTGTAATCACAAGCGTCCTTACGAGAGGAAGAAGGAAGCAGACTAGGCAGTGTCAGAGTGATAAAATTTAAGAAAGACTCAACTGGCCATTGTTAGCTCTGAAGATGGAAGGGTGCCATGAGCCAAGGAATGCAGGCAGCCTCTAGAAGCTGGAAGAGACCAAAAAAAAAAAAAAAAAAAGGATCTTCCCCTAGAGCCTCCAGGAAGGAGCACAGACCTGCCAATACCTTGATTTTTGGTCACTGAAAACTATGTCAGTTCTGACCTACACAATTGTAAGATAATAAATTTGTTGTTTAAGAAGGATCTCTGGTGGTGTAGTGGTTAAAGCATTCAGCTACTAGCCAAAAGGTCAGCATTTGGAACCCACCAGTCGCTCTGCAGGAGAAAGATGAGGCCATCTGCTTCTGTAAAGATTTACAGCCTTGGAAACCCTATGGGGCATTTCTACTCTGTCCCATAGGGTCGCTATGAGTTAGAATGAACTCGATGGCAGTGGATTTGGTTTACATAGTTTTGTAGATACAAACCAAACACAGACAAAGAAATGGCTTTCCAGGGCACTGAGTAAAGGAAATAGAGCTGCTTCACAGGGCCGCTGATTCAGGTTTCTCCCCCTGGATGAGGAATGTGCTTGATTGTGCTGAGTGAGCCCAGTCAGTGTTGATAAAAACTCCCTTAAAAGAGAAATACAAGGGCATTTACCTAAATTCTTCTGGAGTGCTGTGATAAATCCCAAATATATTAGAGACACGGCAATGATTCAGGCTTTCCCAACTCCTGTAGGATAACAGGATGGAATATATTCTTTTTTAAGGCACCAAGAGACCTTCAGAAAACTACAGCCAGATATACTGAACTGCTCCAGTCCTGTGGGGCACCCTGCTTCTGTGAGGTGCTATGCCTTCTTTACAACGTGAATCAGGAACATATAATGTGCACATGTGTGCTTTAAAGGCAAGTCTTCCTGCAGAGCCATTCCTACCAACAGGTCTTCACTCTCGGTATCTTACTGTCAAATACAATTAGAGAAATATATGTCTGATTAGAAAAGCAAGGACAGGAAATGTCATGGAAAAGTATGTGAAAATAATTAATAACGGGATAAGGGCATGAAAACTAATCTGACAAACCAGCAAAGTAAGGAAAAAGAAAAAGAAGTGAAAACAACATACAGTAGATAACGGACACACATAAAGTGGGAAACATAAAATCAGGCACGTCAACCATTTCTCTAAATGTGGTCAAAGTGAATTATCCCACTAAAATGCACTATCTTGAAATTAAGAAATGTGAACACTTTAGCAAAAATAGGCAATCAAAGAGGAAATTATAAATGTTGCATAAAGCAAAAAAAAAAAAGAGAATAATTCATACCAAACCTTATGGAGTAAAGAAAAAACTGCATTCAAAGAAAAATTAATAGCTTTATAAATATACAGATTTATATGTGTCATATTAAAAAAAAGAAAACAAAACTCACTGCTATAGAGTTGGATCCAACCCATAGCAACCCCTCCTTGGGTTTCCAAAGAAGTATCACTATGGAAGTAGATTGCCCAGACTTCCCTCTGAGGAGTGGCTGGTGGGTTTGAACCATCAACCTTCTGGTGAGCAGTCAAATGCCTTACCAGAGCTCCCTTATAGAGCGAAACCTGCGAGAGCTGGAACTTGACAGGATTGCTTTGTTTTTTCTGGGTCTCACAAGTTTTCCATCTTTGACAGGGCGTAGTCTTGGCATTTTCTATCACTCATTTTAGTGGAAACTATCTGATAGCATAGTGGCTAAGGCACTTGACTGCTAACCAGAAGGCTGGCGGTTCAAACCCACCAGTCACTCCTCGGAAGGAAGATGGGGCAATCTACTTCAGTAGCGATAATGCCTTGGAAACCCAAGGAGGGGTCGCTATGAGTTGGGTCCAACTCGACGGTACATAACAACAATAACATTTGAGTTTTCCTTCTCTGACACATTTCTGCCTTACACTGCTTCCAGTTTTTGCAGGTTTTACTGTATATAAGGTTTCCATGAGTCAGAGCCAACTTCACAGCAACTAACAGCAACAACAACAGTTTGGGAGGCATTTTCTTTTTTTAAAAAATGATATGGGATGCAGGTAATCTATAAGATTTTTATGATTTGTCTGTGTTACAGGACTTAGACTTAGTCTGGCTCTAGAAAAGAAACCACTGTTCAGGCCTGTGTTTTCCAAACCTTAGCTGATGTTAGAATCATCTGGAGGACTTGTGAGACCACAGATTGTCAGGTCCCAGCCCCGGAGTTCCTGACTCAGTAAGTCTGTGATGGGACTCAAGAATCTCCGTTACTGGAAAGTTCCCAGGGGAGGCTGGTGGTCCAGGAACCACACTTTGAGAACCACTGGTCTACAGGATTAATGTTCCGATGACAAGAAATGACCCACATAGTGTCCCCTTAACCACAATTGTACTCACATTTAAGCCAGCTTTCTTCCAATAATAGTTGCTATACTGGTTAACCATGCACTTTGTTTTTTCTTTAAACTTTTCTTCTGAGTCAACAGACCACCAAGGATCCAGGTTTCCATTTTTATCATATTTTCTTCCTAGGAAAAAGGAAAGTTAAAAGGTCTTTGTGTTATTTATGGAAACCAAATTCTTCATCTTTCTTTTCCCTGCCTTCAAGCCTCAAGAAGCAGCCACAACAGCAGAGCATACTCCTCCAAAGAGCAGTTCCTGCCTTCTCACCAATGTCTCAGGGGAATCATAAAAGGGGGAAAGGAGAAAGGGGACTGAAGGAGCTCTTTCCTTCTAAGGAACAAAGAGCATTTCAAAAATAAGAGTTATCAATTTATCATATGTGCTAGTTTTATCCAATCTTGGCTTCTTTGTTTTCACCTGATCTAACCCAAAATGTTCTCTGGATTATGAAATAAAATGGCTTCATTCAGAAAGCCCACGGAGAGAGTTAGAGCGTCACTGCCAGTGAAATTCCAAATGATCCATAGGAATAGCCCTGGTGAGTCATCCACACCACACAGCCACAGATCCTGACTCAGCCGTATAGAATGTGTCTCCTCCAAGTTGTCAGGACCTTAGAGACACATCAAACCTCTGTTATGAATCATTCCACAGCAATCAGTGTGGATGGAAGGCCCATCTGTCCTACTTAGACAAGGAAGGTAGCTCAAAAAGGAATACTTGTAACAAGAAAAACAATCTCCAAAACATAGTGGAGAAAAAAATAGTTACATAGGGTTTCTTGCTAAATGCTCACTCTTCATTTTCTTCACACCCTCAAAACAAAAGTTTGGGTTCATCTTAACTGTCTCCTAGGTTCAAGGTTATTACTGGAATCAGAGTCATAGTTTAAATTTAAACAAAGAACTTTCCATTGGGCTTACAGAAAAGTCCTCTAAGTAAAGATATGAATTGGAATAATCCAAAGCTCTTCAATAAAACTAGATGCCAGTACCACCACGCCCCAGAATAGCCTGGACTCACTGTCCTTCATCCACTAATCAACCAATCATTACATAGTTACTGGACATGCACTTATTTGCAACGCACTGTTCTAAGCTAAGTTAAAGAGTGAAATCTCCATCGTTCGATTCCATCCTTTGAGAGAGATTCCAGAAGGCTCTGAGAAAGAAATGCTCTTAAATTTCCTAGGAACAAAGGCTCAGAACCAAGAGTGGCCTCCACTTTTTCTTTCTTAGCAAAGACTGTCCTCTCAGATACACCAGTCACCAAAAGTTAAAAAGTCTAGCTCTCTGGGGAATCAGATGATTACAAGGCAGCTACATTTTAATAGGGAGGGGTGTCTAGGGGAACAACAATCCTCTAGATGATTAAGAAGGGCTGGTAGGACCATGGACAGAATTTTTGAGAACGAAAACAACCAAAAAGGTCTCAGGCCTTGCAGTAAGCACCTAGGAACAGAGGTTGAAGCTCCCCAGGCATGGAAGAAAGCGGTCCCCTTGTATCTAACATTTTCTTGGGCCTGCCATGTTCTTGACTTTGCCTATAAATCACTGTGTAGATGTGTATATGACAGTAATTGGCTGCTAATTTGTACATTTCAGAGATTTCATGTGGCTTTCCAACAATATTCCAAACTTAAAGGAGAAAAGAATGCTGATTTAAAAATGGTGATGACACTCACAGGGAGATCATTTCTATAGTGTATACCATATTCTGCTTTTTCTTTTTGCTTAAATGTCATCAGAATGTATGGTATACACCAAAAACTAAATTTACTGCCATTGAGACGATTCTGACTCATAGCAGCAGTACATCTTTATGTAAGTAGACTGCCCAGTCTTTCTTCCACAGAGTAGCTGGTGGGTTTGAACCACCAACCTCCTGGTTAGCAGCCAAATGCCTTAGGCACTATGCCACCAGAGCTCCTTATACAGCACATAGCATAGTCTATATCATCTATTGTTAGGAAAGCATAGACTTTTAAAAACAATTCTGCATATACATCAGTATAGAGAAAAAGGGATTAAGCACTGCATAACCCTTGTATAAAGGAACCAGTCAGCCTAACTGCAGACTCCTAAGACTTGGGGAGTCTCACTTGTGGAGCACTCACATCCAGAGAGAACATCGCGAGATGGGGAATAAAGAAATGACTAAAGGGAGAAGCCGTAGAGCAATTCCAATAACTAGTGTGGCAGCTACAGCAATCCTGATGTGAATGCAAGGCTAATTTTGCTGAAATTACATGGTCTTTTATTATTATTATTATTACTATTATTATTATTATTATTATTTCAGCCTGATCACCAACAGGAACAATTATTTATTTACTGCAAACTATCACAGCAAGACATGGGGGAAAGTTTTCAATCAGTAATCATGTTGCTTTGGATAATCTTCCACCTATGATGATGCCACTATGCAAAGATAATAGCAACAATTAACATCCATGTAGTCAACATTATTATAGAAGCAGTAGCTTATAAAATGAACCTGAACCTACCATTATTATCAAATCCATGTGTAAATTCATGTCCCACAATTACTCCTATAGCGCCGTAACTCAGAGACCTATGGCAAAAATACATGATTTTGAGAAAAATCAAGCATCAATCTCAGAGCACAACCTTTTAATTCTTGTTCAATGAAAACCAAGATAGTCTGTTTTCTAGTAACCATAGTAATAGCAATCTAATAACTACACCTATAGAACTGTACAAAGATCTAAATACAGCCTTCTGACTGAAATGGACAAAGGAAATATAAATTCTAACATTGTCACTATGACCGTGTATGGGCATTAGTGCCCTATCCTGTGAAATTAAGGATGTGAAAGAAATGTTTTCTGAAGAGTCTTCCAGAGCTAAGATTTCTATGATTCTCATTCTGCCCCAGCTATATTTTATATTTATAAACACCCAGAGCATCACAAGGTTTGAAAAGATCCTGCCAATAAACATACCATTTATTGTTTTATCTCAGAACTTGCTGAAAAGTCACTATAGTCTTAGAAGTTAAATTGTTTTCCAAATGTAGTCATAAAAAAGGAATAGAGCAGAGATTAAAAGGGATCACTCTGTTTTCAAAGGTAGTCACGTTCCTCTGCTCCTGTGACAGACAAGTTCACAACTGAACAGCAAAGACTGTGAAGCCTTCACCAGCTTTGGAAAAGGTGTTACATAATTTCTCTTCACCTCTAAAGAAGCCTGCAGTAAATTGTCTACAAACGTGGCTGCCAATACTTCCATCTACCCCTGAATGCACATGCCCTCCTCCCATCAAGAGGCCATATTCCCCTCCTCTTGAATTTGAACTGGCCTTGGGACTTGCTGCAACTTGCTGCCGAAACTGGGAGTGACAGGCTGTGACTTTGGGGCCAAGGCCTGAAGAGGCCTTGTAGCTTCCATTGCTTGCCATCTTGGAAGTTGGTTGCAAACTACCCAGCTGGAGAGAGAGGGGGGCCAGCAGCCATTTGAGCCAACCCAACTGAAGCACCAGGCAGGTGAGTGAAGTCATCTTAGATGCTCCAGCCCTGGTGGAACTGCCCAGCCAACACCACTTGGAGCAGAGACAGGCAGTCTTGGCTCAGTCCTGTCCACATTGCAGAAACACAAGCCAATAAGTGGCTGTTTGGGGGTGCTTTGTTACGAAGCAGTGGATACAAACGAAACAAAGCATAATACTGATATAGGACTAAATCAGTAAGTGGTTTTCCACACATGCGTGTCTGTTATTTTCTCTCCCCATTACATGTTCCATGAAGACCAAACCCTTAACTACTTGTTCACTACTAAATTCTTTGTACGTGGGACACAGTAAAAATGTCACAAAGATTTAGTTAACTGATTAATGTCACCATTTCATGCAAGTGACAGATCTGTATGTACCCTATTTTAGTCATTTAACCAGTGGATGAGGATTATAATGGGCCCCTTAGAACCCTTTCTATAAACCAAACCAAACCCACTGCCCTAGAGTCAATTCTGACTCATTGCGACCCCCGTTGGGTTTCCAAGATGGTAAATCTTTACAGAAGTAGATTGCCCAGCCTTCCTTCTAAGGAATGGCTGGTAGGTTTGAACCTCCAACCTTCTGGCTAACAGTCAAATGCTAAGGGAACTACACCACCAGAGCTCCTTAACCCTTACCAAAAGGACTCTTTACGAGATTTTCAGTTAAGCTAAAAATATTTTGCAGTCAGTTCCTGACATGCAACATCAAAGTCACCCAGCAAATAGATAGGACCCACAACTGGAAGGAATGGAAATTTTCAAAGCAACATGTTATTACAGGACATAATGATCCTTAACATGCTAATTGTTTGTCTCAACTATACCCAAGGAAGTGCTGTAAGATTTAATTTTTCCCCTTGGTGGCAATTCTTTCCTTTGTAATTTCTTTCCTGCAAGGTAATTTGCATTTGAAAAAAATGCTTCCTACTGTTTTTCCATCATTGCAAACCTTCATTAAAGGAGTAAGAGTAAAATTATGCATTTCAATCATAGAGCTATCATAGCAGTATGCAACAAACTTGTAATTTTACATGGTGCTAATTTTTGCAGCAGTAGCTATCACCAAGCAGCCTGCAACATTTTGTTTTTCCAGGTCTCTCATCCCTGAGAACAGTACTGAGTCCTTGACAACCCTCAGTCAAGGCTGTTGACTGGATGAATTTCAGGGATGCACAATGGAAGCTTATAGAAACTGCTCTGCCATAAATGTCCCTTAAGAGGGCCTGCTCCAAGGAACTTCCTATTTGCCAAGGGTAATAGACAATTCAGAAAATGATTGAATCATTGTACATTCAATTCTCAGTTACATAATCACAATGCTTTAGATGAGAGACAAAGAGAAAATAATTGTATATGACTAAGCTTGGCAATGACCATGGTTCATAATATTAAACTCACATCCTCCCTTTTATCAATGAACATTATTTAAAAGAGTGTCATAAAAATAAATAAATAAGCATACAAATGAACAGGTGTGCCTTTGAAATGCAATTGGCTGGCCAGAAACAAGAAGGCTACCTGCAGAGAAAATCTAGCCTCCCAAAAATTAAAATGGGGAAGATGACAATTTTACCATGCATTCAAATACCATGGACTGCCAGAATTTGTCCTGGAAGAAATGCAGTCAGAATGTTCCTTAGGAGAGAGAACAGCCAAATTTCATCGCACCTACTCTGGTCACGTGGTCAGACGGGACTAGTCCCTGGAGAAGGATATCATGCTAGGTAAAGTCGAGGGTCATTGAAAAAGGGGAAGATCCGCAATGAGATGGATTGACACACTGGCTGCAATGATGGGCTCAGGCATAGCAAGGATTGTGAGGCTGGTGCCCAAACAGGCAGTGTTTCGTTCTGTTGTACACAGGGTCCCTATGAGTCAGAATAGACTCAAAGGCACCTAACAATAACAGCAATTTCTCTTTTGTTCTTACCACCCAATGGGTTTAACGTATGTGCAGGATTTGCTGTCTACAACCAATTATATTGCTGTCTGGACTAATCATGATTTCAAACTCTTATCAAGTAAGGGCTGTGCTATGTCTGAGTTGTAAATTATAAAAATGTCAGTGCTAGAAGTGGCCTCAAGGTCATCTAGTTCAGTTCCTTACCACAAGCATGAGCCCCCTCTATAGAAACTTATTCTAATAGTCAGGAGATTTCTGCTTGAACATTTTCAATGACCAAGAGCTCACCTTCCCTGAGGTAGCCCATTCCCTCCTCAGGTGATTCTAAAGTAAATGAAAGAAAATTTCCTTCCTGCGTCTATTGGTCTCCTGTGGTCACTAGTCAAGCACCCTCTGACCCCCTTCAACACAGTAAATCCTTCTGTCGCCCAACTTTTTTTGTACAATTCAAAGACAAAGTTTCCCCTCAAGTGTTCTCTTCTTGACATCTTTCAACAGATCTTCATTCATTAATAATTCTAGACCAACATTTCCCAAAACATATTCCACAACAACAGAGTGCCACACAGGGGTGGGAAAGGGGAAATCGGAAGCCTCCAGGTTGTACACATTTAAATAGATTTCCTTCTTGCAGAACTTCTTGGGAATTTTATGCTGGTGAGTATCCTGATTCTCTAAAACACAGGGATGGGGAAGATGACCGCCTCTACTACTAGTTGATAGGACACACTTTGGGAAATAGTGTCCTAAAGCCATTCCCAATCCTGATCCTCATCTCTAGAAACAATACAGCTTGTTGATGTCCTTGTAATTAGACCCAACACTCAGGTGAGGGCTGAGCTGGGCAAAACAACGCAGAAGAGGCAAAAGTTCTAGAATCAAAACTCATTTTCTGCATATTAAAGCACCACAGCAAGCAAAGGCATATAATAAAAGTGGTGATATTGCCAAAATCCTCAGAAGCTGGGTATTTTGAATTATACAAGTCTCTAATTTGTTGGTATTAATGGCCTATAAACTGGTATCACTAACTCTAGACACTGTCAATCTGGACCTAAAGTTTCCAAAGTTATGTTCTATGGACAAATTGGATTATCTCATTCACAGGCTCAAAACTTCAGTATTTTCTATTGCTTATTGGTGCTCAAACACCTGACTTAGCACTTGGAACCCTATAAAATCAAACCTCAACATTCTCTTCCAGACTTCTCTTCCACTCCTTCCCTTCATACACCACTTGAACTAGTCAAGCTCAACTCTGTCATTCTACAAGCACTTTTCCCTCCTTCTCTCATATTGTATCTTCCTCTGGAATGGTTTTAGCCTGTTACCCAGTGACTCTTCAAGGTCCAAATATTTGTAGTGTGAGTCAACGGGTAACTGAATAAATGCATAAAGATGAAAACCACCTACATATACATTGGCTTTCCTGTCCAGTCATACACCTTGGTAACAAGGATCAGAAAACAAATAACTCAAATGGTGAGAGTGTGACTAACCTATGCCAGATTCCATAGCTTCTTTGTGCTAAATAACTATTACATTTGTTTTTTTTTTTTTAACTTTATACCATATTTTTCACATATAATGTGCCTATGGAAATAACATAGAGACATATATAATATGTACAGCATACACAGGAAACTAACATGCAAGGGGTTGTGTGGTTTGCAAAAATGTATAATACTTACTTGCATAAAAATATGGCAGTCTCTTCTCTGCCAAAACAGCATACATTCCATCCTCACTTGTCAATCACTGGTTTCTTTATTAATTTACTTACCGAGGATATTCTGTTCCCCAAAAGAAAGGCTTCTGGAGCTCTCCTGCTGGAAATCCTGGGAGGAATGCAAACAAATGAAAATTTTAAGGCTGCAAAGAGACTGATTCAATGAAAAGCACCTGTATCCAGCATTAACCTTGAGGTCTCAATGGGCCATCTGAGAGGTACTCCTTGTAGAGCTGGGAGCCTTCAAAGACATCTAACTATCACTACAATAACATTAACTCAACTGAGCTTGAAATAAGTGCATTAAATCAGTTTCAATGAAACCATTGTGCATGGATACACTATTGGCAGTGTCTAGTGTACTGTGAACTGGGTGCTTTCACGGAGTGTGTGCATGAGGCTTCAGGCTGTCCAACAGCTTCCCTTGATGGAAAAAGGGCCAGCTTCTTGGGCATGCCATCTATACAATCACACAGGGCCCATGTTCAGAAGGGGCCTGCACTTGGTTTAATGCTCTGCAGTCACCATCTTGAAATTCTTAACAATTTTATCTTTGAATTTGTATTTTTTACATGAAGTCTAAGGGGACACTGGAGGATGTGAACAGAGGAGATATCTGTAATATGCATGTCCATGTGCCTACATGGTTCATTCACATACAGCATTCATGATGCCCCATGAACACAGAATTCTGATAAACTAACAATATGTGGGAGTTCAGTGAAACTCAACATGAGGACAAGGTGAGCATGTTTACCATTCAAACCAGAATTTGCCTTGATCACCAAAAGGAGATAATGGTATTCTAAGAAACATGAATAATAACCGAGGAACTCAATCATATTCTTCCTGACTCATGTTACTTCCCTTTGTCAGCCAACCACTTATGCTGAAAAAGACATAAAAGGAAAAGGAAAGATAGGGCAACCCATAGTTCCTTTTCCTTTCAGGCCTTCCTTTCTCTTCACTAAGCCTAGAGTAAGTAGAATGCATACATATTAAAAAGTGAAATAAAAACAGTTGAATTAGTTTTGAGTAGTATTTCCAGTGTTCTGGTGAGAACAAAATACATCTGCACGGACAAGCTACGAGATACAAATTGTGCAAACTCGGTGATTCTGCACACAAGCTAAATGCTCTTATATTTGCATCTAAAACTGGCCTTGTACAATATAAAAATGAATGGGAAAATTTATGCTAATTACTTAAAATATTGTAATTTTCCTTTATTTAGAATGGCATTGTTGTTTGTTGCCGTCAAATCAGCTCTGACTCATGGTGACTCCATGAGGAAGAGAACACAATGTGCCATCGTCATGATCACTGGTATGTCCAAGCCCATGGTTGCAGCCACTGTGAAGTATCAATGCTTCCAATCTAGAGGGGTCATCTCCAAGCACTACACTGGACAATCTTCTATTGCGGTTCACAGGATTTCCACTGGATCATTTTCAAAAGCAGATTTTCAGGCTTTTCTGTCTCATCTGTCTCAGTCTGGTAGCTCTGCTGAGACCTGTCCACCATAGGTGAACCAGCTAGTATTTGAAATACCAGGGGCATAGCTTCCAGCATCACAGCAACATGTAAGTCACCACAATATGACAGAGTGACAGGTGGGTGGTAGAGAATAGCATTAAATAGCAAATAAAAAGCACTATGACAAGTTGAGAGAGAGAAACCATGGAACACCAGACAAAACTTTATATTTTAGGACTTTAAATGGCACTTTTTCCTGCTTTCTGGATAAGGGGCCCTGCAACTTATGTAGCTGGCCCTAGGTCCAGATAAGTGGGAGAAATGCTTGCTTTGTTCTTGTAACTCAATACTACATTTGGCACCCTGGGGTGACCCTAGAAGCTGCACTTACAAGCCCTCATAGCTGGGAATGCAAAGGACAGCAGCAACAACAAATGAAAAGCCCTCTGCAATGTCCTTCCTGCACCAGAGCAACTGCTTTAGGCCCCATGAGACTGCAAAGCTCTTCTATGAGTGAAAATGTTTCCTCCCTCTTCTCTCCTCTCCATACTTTCTTTCTACCTCTCCTCCATGACAGGACATTATGAGGCAGAATTGAGGGCAAGAAAGAAGTCCTTAATTTCAAAATGAAATGTCCATTCTATATAACATATATATACTATTTTATTAATAATGATATCCTAGTTTGAGATATCAAGGTGCAAAAACTTGATTGCAAAACAGAAGTGGATCCACCTAGTGGTTGTCTCTCTTCCTGCTGCTTTCACATAAAGAAAGATGCAGCTAAACCACTCTGACGTCATATTAATTTTCAAAATTCCTACATTTCCTTAAATATCTTGGAATCTTTGCATCAGTATTCCATCCTCTTTTTTGCTTATGACTTTTAGCACATCAATCTGTCTTGTGTATGTGTATGTGTGTATATATACCAAAAAAAAAATAAACTACTACTATGCTACCAGAGCT